AGTAGCGGAAATTGCGTCGTGAATCTGCACGTTCCTATGGACATGCAAATCGCATACATTAATGTTGTTTCGCTAGCGAAATTTATGAACACGCGTATGAGGCTGAACACAATTTATCTGAATTTCAAATGTTGCTTAATGTGATTACATCATTGGTTTGTAACATGTAGAGCACGAGTTTGTATGCGGTCTTTATACATGGTTGTTCAAAGTGAATGCATAATGGTGAAGTCGTGTCTGTCCTTCAGGGTAAATAATTTCGAACCATACACCACACGAAACTTCATCAGTATTAAAATGTGACTAAGAATTGATATAAACATATACCGATTTATTATTAGGCAACTTTTACAAATTAGACAGAACAACTTATATGGGGAGCTGGGATAGCGTAGTTGGTATAGCGACTGGTTACGGGCTGGACTACTGAGGGGTCGGAGTTCGAGTCTCGGTAGTGTCAAGAATTTTTCTTTTCCAATCTGGGGTCCATCGAACCTCCTATCCAATGAGCCAATGGGTAGCGGGGGTTCTTTCCCTGGAGTAAAGCGGCCGGGGCGTGAAGCTGACCGCTCATATCCAACTAGAGGCGAGGTCAAGAAAATACGGTTCTATAAATCCACTCCCCCGTACAACTTTAGGGCGCAGTGCTTAATTGGTTAAGCACAGGAACAACTTTATCTTTACCTTACTTTATATGGAGGTCTGTCTTCGCCTCTGCCCGTCAGTCTGTGATATGATACCAAGTTTTCGCTGTTGGAGTAATTGTTTTAAAATTTCGACAGGGAAATTGTCACCATAACTTGTATGAGAAGTAACATTTTCCGAGATACTGACGCAAAACAATTTCTACTTTACTTAAAACCATAAACGTATTTAGAGATGGAAAAGTGCCTAGTACGACACCTTCAATAAACAGGCAGCGATAAGCTTACTAAATCGTAAGGATCGCCTTTGGAAATTATATGTGCTTCATTGTGAAGTACACCATTTCCCGTATTGCAACACTTCTTTTAAGTCTATATGAAAATTTATAAAATTTCTTAAAACGTCTTATTGCACTACGTAAGACTATAATATATCGATTTTCTTTAGGTCCATAATTTCAATCTGAAATTTTATTAGGTATAGTGAATAACACTCTAGTAGCAAAACTCTAAGGTTCAGTATCACTAAGGCAAAACCTTTCAACTGATACCATCAAGAGACCGTCCCTCCAAGTCCTATCCTTGGAACCTACCTCTATTGGAATCCATCTAGTTCATAGCATTTTAAATACCAATTAAAATGGACATTCTTCTATCCTTGTAATAGGCTGTGGAAGCCTATAGGGTTATGAGACGTCGAGGCTCCCATATTTTCTAGACAATCGGCTCACAGATGGTGGTAGGGTGTCGCCTTACGCGCTGACCGCCTTTTACCCACAGGAAGATTCCTGATACTAATTTCTGTTAGAGGTTGAGTCGGCTCCAGGGCCATAGTGTGGCTGGAAATATTAGGTCCACTCAAAAATTCAATGATCTCATCGAGAATTGAACCTGCAACCTTCCGGCTTGTAGCACAATGCCTCAACCACTCCGCTACCGCGTGTCCCCAGAAGGAAAAATACATAACGAAATGTAAATGTATGTTATTTTGCCCTGAAGATGGAAGCAGGAGGATGTTATGTAACGTTGGTTAACAAAATTACGTGGTGTCATATCCCAGAAGACAGTAATTTTATTGATTCCACCGTGAGAATATAACATTTCAGAGAGATTTCTAGTTTATCAGGCACTATAACAGTTTTTGAAATCGTTTTAATGTACGTATATGCGTACATGATTACTTGATCTGTGTGTACTCACCAGCCAGGACGCGCTTCTATAGTCAGGAATGTAAAACAGCTTCGCCCATTGAAAGTCTAATGGTATTTAGCAAGAGACATGCATTATTATGAAATGTTTTATGAAAGAAGATGCAGCAAACAATCTGTTGTAGTTACACTCACGCACTAATCACGAAATACAATAATTTACGTAATTCAGCAATCCGTTACAAGTTGCTGAATTTCAAGAACTGTTAGTATGCAGGTTGTACTTTTCCACATGCATGGGAGAGACGAGAAATGTAAACAAAGCACTGCATGGAGAATCATAAGGAAAAAAATTATTTCCGAGCCCTAGACGTAGATAGAAGGAAATACTGAGACGGGTCTTAAGAATTTGATTACATGGGCTGAATTCTTCTAGCCTAGGTTTATGAAAAGGACAAGTACGTGCGGCTAAAGATGGAGGCAGTACGTTCTTCCCTAACGTCTGCAAATTTGTACCACAATATACGGCGTCGCATCCCAGAAAATATAATTCTTAAAGGAAAATATTANCTTTTACATACCAGACGATGAATGAAGTCCAAAACAAGCCAAAAGAAGTACAGTATGCACCATCGTCAGAATCCTTTCAAGGAAAATATTATATTCAGCTTTGATGAAACATATATTTGAATGTTAAAGTGTGTAAACATATGCGGCACTCGGTAATGAAACTTCTGGATCCATAAAATGCTAGGAAGTTCTTGAGTGGCTGCAGAATTGACGGCTTCTCAAGCAGGGCTCAACTCCATGAGTGAGCGAGTGAGACATACACGGCAAAGAATTGCTTGAAACAAACATTAACCCTATCAACTGTCAAATTCAATATTTACGCTTCCTGGCATAATGACCAGGGTTTTTTTTTTTCAAGAATAAATATTTACTGTCTTACGATTAGTCGGGGGCACGCGGTAGTGTAGTTGGTTGAGGCACTATGCTACAAGTCGAAAGATCGCGGGTTCAAGTCCGATGAGGTCATTGGATTTTTTTTCAAATGACCTAATCCTTGCAGCCGCACTATGGCCCTGGGGTTTACTCAGCCTCTAACAGAAATGAGTACCAGGAATTAATTAAATAATTTTCTTGGGGAGTAGAGCGCGGCCGGCTCGTAAGGCTGACAACCTTACCGTCATCTTTGAGCCGATTGTCTAGATAATGTGGGACCCTCAACGTCTCACAACCCTATGGGCCTTCACGGCCTGTTACAGGGATAGCTTTACTTTTTACTTTTACTTACGATTAGTCGTTACTACCGCGAAAGGTCCAAAGCTGAAACCAAATACTATTCTGATAATAGTCGTGCCCGAATATGCAATAGTGTTTCAACATTATGTAGGGCCTACTAACCATGAAAGAAGTCCACATACTCTTTCAAACATCAGTACCCAAAACATATTAGCAGTAGTCAGTACACTACATATTTATGACACTGTATCAGCTGTTCGAATATCGTACGAAAAATATGAATGACGCTGAGCACAAAAGTAAAGTTGTTCATGTTCTTAATTAAGCACTATGTTATGAAAACAGGGGGAGTTGAGGTATAACTCCACCATTCTTAACCAAAACACTAGATGGAGATGAGTGGTCAGGATTACACCCCGTCGCTTTATCTTCGGGGAAAATCGCTACCGGCAGCATTTCGATAGGAGGGTGGGTAAGCCCCAGAGTCGGTATGGAAGTTTTGGAGAAGAGAAAAATATTGTTCCTGCAGGGATTCGAACCCCGGCCGTTCCAGCTCTGAGCCCGTCGCTGTACCGACTGAACTATCCCGGTTTCTTAATGAGCTCTGAAAGGAATGTAATATTCACGGCCTATTTAAAGATAAGCGAATACGTAACTAGGTGGCTGAGGAAAAGCACGGCAACGTTTAAGTAGCTGGTCTCCAAAGCAAGAGAAGAACCCGAAGTAACCCATATACGAACCGGAAGTGATTATATCGTTCAATTTTCATAGCTTCCGGAGAAGATGAGATAAAATGTGGAATTTCCAATTTCGTGTTTAGCAATACTGCGTAATGCAGCTCGTAATGATTGCGTGGTACGGAAAGTGGGATCCGTGGTTTCAGTTTACGAATTCTCTCCTTTATTTCTGGCATGAAATAAATGCAAATGTTTTCCGTAAACTGTGCTACATCTACTGGTAACTTCCACGTGTCCACCTCTAAGTCCGTCTAACCCAGTGTCACAACTCGTTTCCTGATAGATGTTAATAAAACTTGGTATGTTGAGTTTTTATTAAAATGCAATTATCATATTGAATGTCTTCAAATATCAGATAATGTAGACTACCACGTTGCAAAAAAAATACGGGTTATTAGAAATGTTATAGTAACCAGTGATTGTGGTCGCGCCATAGCTCAAGCGGTTAGTCGCTGGCTTCCCACCGCGGAGGACCGGGTTCGATCCCGGGTCTGGTCAAATGGGATTTGTGGTGAACAAAGTGGCGCTGGGGTAGGTTTTCTCCGAGTACTTCGGTTTCCCCTGCCAATCTTCATTCCACCAATTGCTCCACAATTACCCTCACCTATCATCTGGGGCTGGTACAATAGGCCAGAAGTGGCCGCAGTACAAGGGACTTAGTCCCACCCCACTAGCAATAAAAAACAAAACAAAAACCAGTGATCGCAATGAAAGTAGTTTCAGAGAATAGTACCACATTTGTATTTAATAAGACAAACATTTAATGTTACGTAAGTTTTCTTGGTGCACTTTCTATGACATTCTTAAAATAATAGCTTGGACTTCGTGTGTTCTAGGTATGTTGTATACCGTTTGTAAAACGCGGTGTCTATATTGAAGCATATTGACAGAGTTTCCGTACGACTCTTAAATAGATTCATTACATAAACATCCCGCGTCGTGGTCCACTGGTTAGAAGCCCTGCTTTGTGTTCGGGAGATCCCAAGTCAATGTCCCCGTCCCGACTAATCTCACCGATGGGAGTTCAAGTTTTCCTGGCTCCCTCTAGGCAAATTTCGGGGTACTATTTTAAATCAGGCCACGACCGCTTCCAATTCATTATTCACCAATGGTGTGAGTTGACTTAGTCATTATATAAATCGTATAGAAATCAAAACGAAGCTTACTAATCCCCCAAAAGTCAACTTTCCCCCCCCCAAATAATTTAAGAGACAGTGTTCGTGTCCTACCTTGGTGTCGTGGAACTGAAGGAAAGTGGCTATGCCTGCCCGGACTCTGTTCTTCACCCCTCGTACTGTTCCCTTGGAACTGCGGATGGTTGAAGACGACTCCTTGCCCTGAAGTAAATCTCTGAATCCCGCGAAAGTTTCCTCGCTCTCGATGTTCTGCCCATGGACGGTTTCCTTACTGTCAGTCGCGTGTTCGTTGAGATGAAAAGTGTAGAACCGATCGGTATCAAAAATTTGACCGTTGTTTACTAATTTTCTGGATGACGCTTGTTGTTTCTCGGCTGTTTCCTTCTGTCTTTCCTCATAAGTCTTTTCTTCCACGACAGATTTTTTGGAACGGTCGTCAGATGAAGTAGACAAGGTGGAGGTGGGGGAGGTATTCTGGTATTTGAACACAGAGCCATTCAACTTAGTGCTACTGGCATCAATACCATTCTTCAGATCACCGCGCTGTTTGGATTTAGAGGACAGATCATCTGTCCACGTTCTTGATTTCCTGATGAGCGTGTTGCATGGTGAAGGAACAATAGTTAGTTTCGCTGTACGGTCCCTGATGTCCTTTAGAAGTCCTTGTGGAAGTGAGTGTTCAACTGGAGGGATATTCGACCTTGAAGGTGTGGGAGGGATTGGTGGTTTCACTGTCTTTTCCATTACCTTTGCTACCTGGGGTGAATTTACCTTACTGGATTCTTGAATTTCTTTAATATCATGCCTTGCGTCCGAACCAATGGATGTCTCCCCATTGAGTTCGCTGCTGTTAAGAGAATCGCAGCTAATGTTACTTCCTTCATCATCACTGTCAACTTCTGCTCCACTGCTAGTCAGACTGCCAGTACGCCGATGTCCACCCCCGTTGACAGTGACAGTAACTGTGGCTATTGTAGGCGTTACAGATTTCTTCTTCGGCAGTGGTGGAGGTGTACTCCCATCAAGGTCGCTGCAAGTACCACTGTCCAGTGTATCACTTGGTGAGGACTGACCACTAGAAATCACCATCCCATTTGAAGAGAATGATCCATAAAAGAAATATGGATTGGCACGTTCCTGAGGAGAAGATTTTATCAGATTTCCTGGAATGGACGTTGTGGAGCGACGGACCATCTCCTCGTGTTGTTGTTGATGTTCAACGTCACTACTGCTTACGTTAATCCTGATGTATCCTTCTGCAGGTGTAGACGTGTAGTGAGATGGATGGAAGTTGAGTGACTGCGGCTCAGTTTTGTTTAAATTCGAGGCTGGATGTTTACCACAGAGCGACGGGTATTGCTGTAAGTTTGGCGGATATTGTGTAGTGCCTGTGATTGCATCGTCTCCTGGATTGATACGAATCTTGACCACGTGATGTTCACTGTTCGTGATACTGTGAGGTGAAGTAGAAGAAGACTCAGTTCTTGGCTGTCCGGAGAGTAGTGTCAGCGATCGTACCTCTGGGAAGCTGAAGCTGAGATTATCATGTTGAGAGGACTGTGGAGGTGGTGTTACAGAATTGTCTCCACTCGGTACTTCGCGAAATACCGTTGTTTTTGCTGGAGAAGACGTTACCCGTGTCGCTATAACATGGTTAGTTGCAATTATACTACTGCTGTTAATGTTCTTGCGTGTCTTGGGAGGGAGAGGGGGAGGAGGAGTACTCGACCTATCAGCGACATCCATCTTAACTTCTTTAGAATTACCGTCCCACATAGAGAATATATCTGTAGAACCTTATAGAACAGTTAGAAAAACACTTTTAAAACATTCCGCTAATCATGTCTCGCTGCAGTGTCACTCCGAATACGTATCCACGCTGACGACCATCTGCGCATTAGATAAACACTGAACTTGGGAACCGATAAAGCTATCAGAGCAGATAATGATAATTACAACCCACTGTATTGCATAGATATTATCGTTAACTTATAGCACTGTAATAATTGCATACAGAAAATTCTTTAACGTATTCTCCGTGTTGAAATTTAACATTTTTCTTGTCACATAACACTCACAATTCACTGTTCACCAGAATATCAGAACACTTACCGGTTAATTCACTGTACTGTATTGTCTTAGTTCACATATGATGATTGTACGCTCTTCCACGTTTATATCATCAGTAACAATTAGTTTACGGAAATCACCGTCCTCTGTTCTTGTGTCACTGCTGAAAAACGTGTCGACTGAACCGAAGTTTAGTGCAGACCGACCGACTTGAAGAGACAGAAATCTTTAGCTTGATAGGAAAGGAGAATGGAAAAAGTTGCTTTCGAACCAGCAGCAGCAGCAGGTTAGAGCAGCTTGGTTCCAACAGCGCGCGTGGTTCGGTGTTCCACTTGAGGACTACCAAGACAGGTACTGGACAAGCTGTTCTGCAAGTTAGCTCCACTCTAGCGGTGAGAGGAAGTAGGCTGGCAGTCTCTTCGTCTCTCTCTCTCTCTCTTTCTCTCACCTGTAATCTCTCATTTTCTCACAAGTATACCTGAATACAATTCGATATGTCGCTGCGGCTGACTCTGGTTGATCTCACGTCTCAGTGTTTCGTCAGCAACAAATATAGCAGTAAGCTTTCAGCACGGAGCGGTTGGCTGGTTAGCACCACCTAACACTATTTATGTGGGTTTCCTTGAAGTAAACGTATCTCCCATTGACAAAAGACATAACCTGTTTTTATCGAACCCGGAGATCTATCGCCGTGTTCGAAAGAGTTCCCCATTAAAAAAGGTGATATTTTGGGGAGCTTAAGTAATTAAACATCGCGGCATGAAGACGTAGAATGAGTGGAGGTGTAGTTCCACCATTCATGACCTCTGCACTAGTTGCAGCAGAGTTGTCAACTTCAGTCTCCGGCCGCTTTGCTCCTGATACCCAATGGATATGAGGCTGGGTGGGCCCCAAAGCGGGTCTGAATGTTATGGACAAAGGAAAAGTCTCTTGCCCCTGACAGGAATCGAGCCCCAATTCCTCGGTCGTCTAGCCAGTAGCCTAGTCACTATACCGACTGAGCTATTGCTGTTCCTACAGCACCCCCCGAGATAGCTCAGTCGGTATAGGGACTGGCTAGGGCTGGGCGACGAAAGGTTCGGAGTTAGAGTCTCCGTAGCCGACCACTCACCTCCAACTAGTATCGAGGTCAAGAAAACGTGGATCTATACATCCGCTCCCCCATACGCCTTCATGGCGTAATGCTCGAATGGTTAAGTACAGGGACAATTTTACTTTTACCCCAGCTGGGCACATTCGACCTCTCAGGTTTCAGTTTAGTAATATTCTGAGTCGGTGTTTCTTTCTTGGGATCCTCTGTCCAGTTTTTATCTTATGTCATGCGTGCTACATGTCAATTCTATTTTGTAACTACTGCTACCGTCACCGTAAACACTGCTTGTACTACCATCACTTTTCTGTTAACTCTCGTATCAGTCTACCGCTAATATTACAGACACTTCTCTATCTCATTATTACGTTTACGGGCCTCTACTGAGGGGCCGGCTTTCGATTCCCGGCAGGGAAGAGAGATTTCTCTGTTCTCCATAACTCCCACAACGGCTCTGAGAAACACTCAGCTCCCAACACAACGGGTACCGGGAGCTGTTTCGCCTGGTATAAAGCGACAGGAGCTTGAAGCTGACCAGTAATTTTCTACTGCCTCATACGTCTTCCTGAAGTAGGTCTTTACTAATTACTACTATGATTATGTTTGTACGAAACTTTTCTATAACTAGGAACCTCAATATCGCCCGTAAATGTCTTCTTGGGTATTGAAATGAATGCAATAACTGGCGCTCGAATGCTTAGAATATATGCGGTAGCATAGTCGGTTGAGGCACTATGCTACAAGCCGGAAGGGCACGGGATCGAATCCCGATGAGGTAACTGGATTTTTTCAATTTACCTAATCCTTCCAGCAGCACTATGGCCCTGGGGTTTACTCAGCTTTTAACAGAAATAAGTACCAGCAATATTCTTGGAACGTTCTTGGGGGTAAAGGGGGACCGGCACGTAAGGCTGACAATATTACCGCCATATATGAGCCGATTTTCAAGAAAATATGGGAACCTCAACATCTCACAACGCTATGGGCCTTCACGGCATCTTACAGGGATACTTTTACTTTTTTACAGTATTACCAAGAATATTTGACCTCATTGTGACTCCGGATCACTTGTTACCTAGACAATCAACTGCCCTAGTAACGGCATGTCTAAAATAAATTCTCTGGTAGCAGAACCCGAAGGTTCATCATCGCTGATAGCAATACGAAGCCAGCTACAACCATATCCTACGTTCGCAAACTAATTTACAAACCTTTACCAGATCTTTCGTTATCTTTCAAATTTATTCTTACTCTACAAAGTGGTAAATTCGCAAGTGTCTTCCTAGAAATATTCTGTTTGTATTCCTTGACTCACCCTCCTAGCTGAAGGTTCAGTTCTTTTATAGATATAAATTTCATTTTCGTAGGTGGTCTGATAATTCAAGAAGTTAGCCTTCTATAATACCCCAAAATGTGTGAATATTACATTATTTGTGAGATACTTGTTACTATTGCAAATTACTTTGACGTGTTTCTGATCAGTAACCGAATTTCGGACTTCAAATTTATGGGTTCTGTCTCAATATTTGTCTTATATCTGATCTTACTAAATCTCTGATGTAAAAGGTAAAGTTTCCCCTCTGCTTAATTAAGTACCACGCCTTGAAGACGTATGAAGTACATCCACACGAATTTTGAACTCGACACTAGATGGAGGTGTGGGGTCAGCTTCAAGCCCCGGCCGCTTTAATCCCCTGATGAAGAGCCCTTGGTACCCATTGGATAGGGGTGGGTCCCATAACCGTTCTGGACGACGTGGAGAAGGGATAATATCTTGTCCCTTCAGGGAAACTGCGGTCGTCCAGTCATACTAACTGAGCTATCTAAATCTTCCATGTGTCTTGGTATACTTAACCTCGCTTTCTCTAGCTCGAATTGGGCCGTGTACATTGCTGATGGTAAGATGTTTCGCAAATGAAGAATTGGAAATTGTGTGGAGTGGAGAAGTTATGATTAGTTTGAGGTACTATTACGAATAACCTCATTCAGATTAGGGCAGAGGTCCGAACCCAAAACCTGCCGAATATGAAGTACGATTGATATTCAATCGGCTGCGAAGTTTTGTACATAAATATTATCGTGTGTAGGACTGACTATAGACGCGGGTATGGATGGGCGAATCGATTTATTTGATATTCTCGAGTTGTAACTACAATTAGTTCTTACACTCTCAAGATTACTGTAATTATAACATATAAATAAAGTCTCTATATCTGCTTGCGCTAGTCGTTGCTAGGTAACAGATCTCAACAACGGCTAAGCCATGATAATGTTTTCACTATCCGATTCCTGTCAACAGATTTTACACAGGAAGTATAAAAGTCTCAATCACACACACACTCCCAATATCACTGCACTACAGCACTCATAAAGTCATCAAATCACACGTTAAGTCCTCACAGGCCTACTTCAACTCTCCAGTCTGCGTTATAGAGCCGAACATCTTCAAGATAAATCCTCGGCTCGGACCACGCACAGAAAATACATTCCATGTGTACGCTATCACGCCAGTCCATTGGCTCTCTGGCTGGATCTACAGAAAACACATCTCGTGACCGTTACCCAGTTAGTTCATTGGCGAGCTGACTGCTGCTTAGCAACGAGCTATACCATTCGTCCTATGGTTACGTGCGCAAATCGTGGGGTGTTTATTGAGACGTTGCCTAGCAATGTCTCGAACAAATCCGTTACAATATTCATCATAGCATGAGACACAATGATTTACGATTCTGAATGATGCTAATTTTATCTACGACTACTACTACTACTACTACTACTACTACTAATAATAATAATAATAATTCAATAATTCAATTCAATAATAATTCAATTCTTTATTATTAATAAATAATAATAATATTTTCTAGTAAACTTTTTTATTTTTTTAATTCGCATAGTGGGGGTTGGAGTCCATTTGGGTCCACTCGACACGGAGGCCACTGATTGGCCTATTATACCTGCCACTGGTGATTATGATTGAGAATTTCGTGGAATGAAAATTGGCAGGAAAAACCGAAGTACTCGGAGAAAACCCGCCCCAGCGCCAGTTTGTCCACCACAAATCCCACTTGACCAGACCCGGGATCGAACCAGGGCCGCCGCGTTGGGAAGCCAGCAACTAACCTCTTGAACTATGGCGCGGCCTATCTTGAAGACTTACTGAAAATTGTTTTAAATTCGGAGTGGTCAGGTAGTTGGCCTGACGCATCTTGGACTGAGGTGGGGCTGCCAACCTTCACATGGTAACAGGAGTGCCTGATTAGAGTGGGTATTTCCTCCTCACTAGATTTTGGGGTTATTCAGCCCATGCTCGGTCACCAGATTCTCCTTTGTGATAATGGGGGCCAGCCATTAGAAGGTGAGTCTGGTTTCTGACAAGGATGAAAAGGTAAAGTTGTCTTTGTGCTTAACTAATTAAGGACTATGCCATGAAGGCGTATGAGGGAGAGGATGTATAGATCCACATTTTCTTGGCCTCGGCACTAGTTGGTAGTGAGTGGTGAGCTTCACGGCCCGACCGCCTTATCCCCGGGGAAAGAGTCCCGGTACCCATTGGATAGGAGGCCGGGTGGACCCCAGAGCCGGTCTGGACTCCGTGGAGAATAGAAAATTCTTGCCCTTATCGGGACTCTATCTCCGAATCTTCAGTCGTCCAGTCCGTAGCCAATCGGTATACCGACTGAGGGATAGGCTTTGTATTTCACTTCACTTTCACTTGGACCCCAAATCTTGTCTATTTCTAAAAAAAAAAAAAAATACTTATATGCGGATTTTTGTAAGAATCTATAAGATGCGAAGGTTATAGAATTTGACTTCTAAACATTATGTACAGTCTTGCAGTTAACAATGAGGCCAAGTTTCGGCACTGCCCTTGTACTTTTTACAGGGTGTATCTAAACCACTTCATATCTGTCGTCTTTATCTTCCCAATGGTCTGTTCTAAATACCAACAAGATTTCACTTAGCTGTTTCCTGTATGGCCAGCCACGCGTTATGAACTAACATTTGACCCTACATGCTCTGTCTCCCTCGCACATTCATGATTACGCAGCATAGCTGCTCTAAGCATTTGCGGTTTTCAAAATTCCACCTACTAAGGCATTTCCTCTTCCTGCACGAATAAGGTTCTTTGTCCTGGTCTGCCTCATCAATATATTAAAGCTGACTCTTAGGCTTTAAAATTCAAAATTTAAAATGTACACGCACCTACACAAGCAACAACGCAAGGAAACAAATCACCACAAAAATGCA